TATGAATAATAGTTTCTACGAAGTAATAATTACCGCTAGTTATTTGTTTTATAGACTTAAAACAATAAAACAATCGAGTTATTTTTCATGATGTGTTGTCCAGAGAGTAAAAAAAAAAAAAGATTGAAAACAGAAAGGAAGAAAGGCAAACCCTGAGTATTTTATTCCCAATTTGCATGCTGTGATAGAATATTGAAATTTAAGTATTCAGCTATTAAATAAGTTTAAGAGAGTCAGTAATTTTTACCATAAGGCGTATTTAAACCATTTTTACCATAAGCCATATTTAAATACATAGTGGGGCTATATTAAGTATATATATGTATATATATTTTTAAAGTATATTTGAAAACATAAAATAACCTAAGAGTTGCTCATGGATATCTAAATACATATCTGTCATGATTAGTATATTTAAACTAATGTGGTTCTTTCTGTTGTTCTGTTGTTTTTCAGCCTAATAATCAGTGAGATAAATGTAGCATTGTAGAAAAAATGCATTAACCAATATATTCAGTGACAAGGATAAAAACTCAAACTTTCTCAGAATTCAAGCAAAACCTTTGAATATTCTCCAAATTAAAATAATAAATTTTCCTTCCTCCTACTTTTCCCATAATCTTTCATGTTTTCTTAATTGTTGAGAGTATAGCTTGCTTCCCTGGCTTCCTAATTGACTTCTGGAAGAATAATATTCTAAAGGGTTTTGTGGATTTTATTTAAACAGGAATAAACAATTGCTTATTCTATACATGGAAGGGTGTTTTAAAAGAAAACGTACTTACTTTGTGAAGATTAATGCTAACTTTGGGTTACTTGTTTAATAAAACAAGTTTTGAGGTATTCCTATGTATAGAACACTTACATTTTCAAGATGCAAAACACTGAAACAACACAAGAAAGAGAACTCACCAAAATGTACACCCCCCCCAAAAAGCTAACTTAATTGGTCTTCATGAAAAACATGAACTTGAATTCAGAAAAACGAATGAATGGAATACAGTAGAGCCAAGCGTCCATCTTTGGACATTTACTAGTACAAAGAAGGATGAGCAGCTTTACAGTCCAGTAAGCACAGATGGACTCCAGAAAGAGATCAACTTACAGTTTTCTGATCCTCAGATTATCAGTACTCAAAAGCCTCAATCACAGGGTCATTGTCAGCTCCTAATTTTCTGAACTAGTTAGAAAACCTAGGGCACAGAAACCTGCTGGGGTCACACTGGTCTTTTTACCATTGTGGCCCCTGAGAGCTGCAGTGAGACATCTTGGTCACAGGGTCACTTGCCCACATACAGGTTATTACTCCTTACCCTTCTGTCTTCCTGTTTGCATCTGACAGCCATCAGATGCCCTCCTAGATCTGCTAGCTGCCACCCCCATTTCCTCTGTTACCAGCACTACTGAATGTTATGCTAAATGTTGGCTTGGTTTGTTGTTCAGTCTGTTGATTGATGTTCCAGCAGCTATCACGTTTGACATAAGCTATATATGTTTTTGTTGTTGTTGCTGCACTTAAAGCACACTGTATTGATTTGCTAGGGCTGCCATAACAAACTGCCACATGCTGAGTGGCTTAAATAACAAACTTATTTTTTCACAATCTGAAGTCTAGAAGTTGGCAAGGGTGTTTTTGTTTGTTTGTTTGTTTGTTTGTTTTTGCGACCTTTCTTCCTGGTTGGTCAATGGACATCTTTTCCCTGTGTCTTTACATAGTCTTCCCTGTGTGTGTCTGTGTCCTAATCTCTTCTTAGAAGGATGCTAGTCACTTCAGATTAGGACCAATCCTGAACTCCCCATTTTAAGTTACCCCTATAAAGATCCTATCTCTACTACAGTCACATTCTGAGGTATGGACGTTAAGATTTCAACATATGAATTTTGAGGGGAAACAAGTCAGCCCATACTTTTGCAATTATCTTTTTGTAGGTTGATCACCCCTGCTATATCTGTCCCACCCCCAGACTTGAGCTTGTAGAAGGCAGGAACTATATTTCTCTTTCAATCCCCAGAACATAACACAGTGTCCAGCACATTACAGCTCAATGAATGCTTGGAGATTGGTAAGAAATTTGAAGTTGAAAAGTGGTTCTGTGTTTCTGATTGCCTGCAGTGAAACCTGGGGAAGAGACTAGAAGATGTTCAGATGAGGCAGAGAAAATACATTTAAACCAAGTCACCTTTTGACACAAAGGCTAATTAACGATTGTTGCTTGTGACCACCTGTTCTCTGTGTCCAACACTGGGAATGAAATGAGAGTTGGTGCCCTTATAGAATACCAAAGGTCAGGTCTGAGTCATTTGAGAGCAAGGGTAATGATTGTCGATAGATCTTTTCTCTTAAGCCCTTCATTTTAGAGTCTCAACATACCACACCTATAAGAAAGAACAAGGTTGTAATGTAGTAGATAGATGTATTTCTTTCCGATAATCTACCATTGTTTCTCAAAAACAACTCTACTTTTAAAAAAAAGTTAAAATATGCCTTTAAGATACTATAGCCAGGATATGCTGAGTTCTTAAACACCAGCCTAGCAAGTTTTAAGAATGTAACTGAGACTCCTCTGTTCCTGCCATCTGGGGCTTAAGGTTTGGACTTGGAGACTGGAAGAATTTATCACAAGGCCAAAGCAGTATTCATTTTTCTTAAAGTATACAATACCTACTTTATGATTCAAACACTAAAACATACCAAATTAGAAATACCTTTGGTCCATATAACAAATATAAAGTAAGAGGGAAAATTTTCTTGGTCGTGGGTCTTGCCGTCAGATACTCAGGTTCCTGAGTTCTTTGGCAAAAATCATTGACTGTTTTTGGAAAAACAAATTGTCAGGATAAGTGCAGTAATTTCTGAGAGGTGAGCCATTTTCTCCTATGGATTAGACTTGGGTGGTTTTAGTGTTGATGCTTTGAATCTAGAAATCAAATGCTAAAGCAGTGTCATCTTGTTAAGATGCAATATTCCAGAAAAGCACAAGAACATAAAAATGACAACATTTACTTGAGAATTTGCTTTTCATTGCTTCCTATGCCTAAGTTTTTTCATGTACTTTTGTCAACATTTTTGTTTCCAAGAGAATTTGATTTCTCACTGAATTTGTAATATTTTTAAATTGTACTTAAAATTTACTTTAAAGTGATAATATAGAAATGAAATAATTTTATATCTATTGACTTTGAGTGAACATGTGGTGGATTCCAGTTTGGGGTTTCATAAAGTTAAGCCCAAACTAGCATTTTGTATGCTGTGACTTTGTTTTAAGCCTTGAAAAAAGCTTGTGTGTTTTTAGGTTGTAATTTTGTTTTCTTCACCTATTCCTAGCTAAAGGGAATGTCAAGAGTGGCTCCTTGTTCCAAATAAGGCAGGTGGTTGAATACTTTCAGAAGGAGCTAGGCAAAGGAGGGGAAGTCTGTGAAAGAGGAAGGTGGTTGGGGTTGGGAGAATCACATGACTCCAAAAGCAGACCCAGTTCAAAGAGAAAATAGTTCTAGTTCTTACAGGATGAGTTCTCAAGTATTTAAGACCCAAATGTAGGTGGTGGCTGTGGACTGGTGTAATTCTGAGGGAGAGGTAGTAGGCAATTTGCATTCTGGGATAACGCGAGGGCAGCAGGATAGAGTAATCTGACAACTTAGTTTGAGTTCCAGTCCACCCTATGCTGTTTGACTTTGTGACTGGCCTTTTTGAGTTTTAGTTTCCTCATCTATGTTATGAGACCTATGCACAGGCTTATCATCAGAATAAACTAGGTAATATATGCAATACTGCTTTGTAAGTTAGGATGCTCTCTGTTACTGGTGTAGAGAGAAAATAATTATCCCAAAGAATGAACACAGTTAGCCAACCATATTTCCAACCTCAGATCCTCCTGACCAAATGGATTGATTGGGGCATACAAAACATTACAGTTAACTCAGCGTTTAGGCTACTTCAATTAGTGCTTCCCAAACCAAAAGTGGCATCTAAGTCTGTCTGTTAATCTGTTAATGAGGTGTGACTCTTAATTATTGTTTATGAAATGTGAGGCTTATTTACAGAATTTAAAAAACCAGATCTGGAGGGAATCTTACCTAATTTCATCCTCTCCTTTCAAGCAGGACTTTATTAAATGTGAATTTGCCCTGACAGATGGCTGTTGGATTCTGTTTCTAAAATTTTTAAAGAAGATTTCACAGTTTTTCTGTCTAAATTATTTTAGTAATTTAACAATTCTTATGCTGAGTTCTTCCTTATAGTTGACCTAAATCTGTAGTTGTAATTTTAAACCCTTTCCCGCACTCCTGTCTTTACTGGAGATGGAGAACAGCTGGTCAGCAACCTTATGCTAATCACTCTTTGTATATTTAAAGAGAGTTACTCAATTCTACTCCCTCGCTCCACCTCCTCCCACCCCCAACTCATCAGCTAGTATTCTCTGAATCATTCATGGCAGTGCTGCCCATCTCCCGCCCCTCTCTTAGGCTTGGCTGTTTCAGGCAGCTGGGCAGAGTGTGTCGTCAGTGGTCACATGGACCTGGAGAGAATCCAGGTGGCATCTTCCTCTCCTCTTTTACTTCGTGCATAATCTTTATCCTTCTAATAAACGATCAAACTAACTCCTAATTGTGTTTGATGGATTCATAACCCATTTATCTCCTAAACATGGAGGTTTGCAAGGTTGATTATCATAGGTTGCTTTGAAAGTTAGGCCTCCCTGGTGACTTAGTGCACTCAGCCAGACACACCATTAAGCTGCTACTTTGCCTGCTAAAGATAATGTTGATATCTGTGTTCTATTGGTCTTAATCTTGGACATTGAGCTAAGACTCTCCTGTGTGCAATGTTTGTTCACAAGCACACTAACAGTTTGAAAGAGTTAATGGGTTCCCCAATGCTCTAAGTTGCAATCTGGGAATAAGTGACCATTGAGGAGAATTGAGCTCATTAAGCTCATTCCATGTGGTTTCAGAGTGGATCCTGTTTTTATCTGAATGTCTATGACTTTATGTCTCTATAGGTTTACTACCCAGAACTCTTGGTCTGGGTCAGTCAAGAACCATTTCCAAACAAGCAGATGGAGGGAAGACTTCCTAAGGTAATTTAACAATTTTGTTAACATTGTTTTCAATCTCGAAGCAGTTAAAAAAAAAAATCAGAGCTATTTCTTTTTCATTCAATATCCATTATAGGTTACTATTATAATCAGTTAACCTGATACTGTGATGATCTTGGAAATAGCATCTATTTAAAAAAATTTATCCTAAAGTCCTGCGATTTAAAGTTCACATTATATTCCTTTTTTGATAAATAAGTCAAAATCAACTTTTCATTTAAAAAGATGGCATTTATCAAATGTACACTTTACAGGTTTTAAATTTGTTCCATTCTTGGTTAGACAAATATGATAATCAAACTAAAAAATTTCTTAAAAGTATAAGATGATAATGTCTTTATCTGCTAATAATGACTGAATGTCTGATAAGATTACTCATGAAACAAAATGGGAAGAACATAAACTGTTATATTTCTTCTAATTTGTATATCTAAAAATTTTTTTTTTATAAACATGGTTTCATTGTTCTAACATCTTAGGTGTGACAATTCTTTGCCCTAATAAAATTTGTGAAACTTACATTTTAGCATAATTTCTGAAGCAAAAAAAAAAAAAAAATCAGTTTTTACTGTAGTTACCTTTGAACTTTGCCTGTTATGGCAAATATCCATTTGACCTCAAGCAGAAGGATTGTACTTTTTATCATTGACCTCTGGTTTTGCAGTTAATAAAGCAAAATGAGTCCATTTAAAATAAAATTTCCATTTGAAAATTTCATAGGTGTAATTGACCAATGGTGAGGCCTCTCCCAGCTATTACTGGTGTTTCAATGTTTAGGAAACTTTTATTTACACTAAATGGTTTCAACAATTCCCTATCATATACTGACAGGCAGAAGTTGAAGAGGTTGTGTCAGTTGGCAGTTTGCACTGAAAGAAAACAATCCTAAGTCACTTTTAATCTTTCAGAGAATTTCTGAAGTTCAAGGTTGAAATCATTGGCAGGAAAGTAGGTGAACAAAATGGTTTGACTTTGCCTGAGCTAGACTTGCACTGATCTTGTAGAGTTGGACTGGAAAAGAGCTAAAATAGTGCTTTACTTAAAACACAGCCATCTCATCATCACCATACCACCACCATCAGCAGCATAACCATAGACATTCTTCACTGTACCAGATCAGGGCGTAAATCAGGCAGTCAAGGGTGAGATGGGAAAACCAGGTACAGTATATAGCCTTTTTGTTAGCTCTTGCTTCATTCAGGCTCCCAGAGGTCCTCTCTTTGATACTGGTGACATCAGCCAGAGGGGCACTTTTAGGTGAAGTTCCTTAGTGAGGTCAGTGGTGCCTCTTCTAACTCACAACCTCAGCGCTAAGTCTTACCTACACAGAGGCATGTCCCAAAGGGTGGGCACAGTGGATTGTGGGATTCAGGTTTTCTGTGATTTTAAGTTCTCTCCTCTCTAAATATGTGAATAGTATTTCAAGCATAGTATATTTGTTCTTTTTCCAGCAGTTTCCTTCTGGAAAAGCGTATATGTATATATATATTTTTTTTTTTTTTTTTTTTTTGAGTTGGAGTCTCACTTTGTCGCCCAGACTGGAGTGCAGTGGCCGCTCCCGGCCACCGCAGCCTCGACCTGCTGGGCTCTGGAGATCCTTCTGCCTCAGCCTTCCAAGTAGCTGGAACTACAGGCGTGCGCTTCTACGCCCAGCCAATTATTTATTTATTTATATTGTAGAGATGAGGTCTCACCAAGTTGCCCGGGCGGGTCTCAAACCCCCGGGCTCAGGCAATCCATTGACCTCAGCCTCCCAAAGGCATGGGATTACAGGCTGAGCCACCGAACCCGGCTGGAAAAGCATATATTTGCATAACTGTAAGAAAAATAATCTTGACTGTCTTAGTCCAAACTACACGGGGTGCGGGGGGAGGAGGTTAGTCTCTTAGCCATCAGCAGCAGGGGGCTGCCATCCATGCCGAGGATCACATCTGCCTCCACCCCCAACAGCCTTCTAGATTTCGTCCCTCAGTCCTGTAGCGACCATTATGTGTTGGATGATAGAGAAACTATTTTCTTCACGAATGGACTATTTTTGCCTGAATTCTAGAGAAATAAAATGTCTTTGTGTCTCCTTCAAAATACCTCCTCCCCTTGTTGCAGAAGCCTAAACTTCCTTTAGTAGGGGCAGAAAGACTACTCTTTACAACAAAATAGTGGGGGAGAGGAGAGTCAGGGGAGGAGAATTGGAATCTAGTAAATCCAGGGCTCCCAAGGAGGGTACATAGAACTCTCTCACTTGGACCCTCAGGGTGCTTCAGTAACACTACACCTACTCACCTACTCACCCCCCCCCCCCCACTTACCACATGGCCTTTCCAGGGCCCATTTACTTGAATACCTTCCATAGAGCAAATTCATGAAGGACCAGATAGGTAGGGACTGTTTTTGTTTCTGTTTTAAATGTCTGTAGGCTTAAAATCTAATAGAGTGCTCAAGCCACAGTGGGCACTCATAACATGAATAGTGAATGAAGAAATCTATGAGTATTTGGAGACTTCAAAAGAGATTTTAAAAATAGTAAAAATGGTAAATTCAAATCCAAAATAATTTATCCCACTTTGTGTGTGTGTGTGTGAGGAGAGGACCGCTTCCTGAAATCTCCAGCTCTTCATTTCATTCTCTTGTATATTTTTCATGGAGGTAAAAGATTAGTAAGACGAGTCTTATATAGAGAGACAAACTAATGTTCTATATATTCAATCTGAACTGAAGCAGTTTTAAGGCCAGCCGTACAGAATATAATTGTTGAGTGAGGTAACAGGTATTAATTTTTGATTTCCCTTCTTTTATTGCCTGTGACAACTAATAGCAATTAAATTCTTTATTTGCCCAAAACCTCAGTTTGTCATATCCTGAACATTGAGAACTGGTTGACTGGGGGTGGCAGGTAGGGTGGGAGGGACCTGCAGCATTATTTTAAAGATAGCAGGATTACAGTGGATTTATTTTTTTAAATTTTGAGATTTTGTATCAAAACTTCAAGATTGAATTATTTTCAGAACTGCAAGAAACTACCCAATATTATGCTTTTGAAAATTTTATCTAGTTCCGTAAGGGTGTGTAAGTGGTGAAATGTGTTTTATTTACCTTTCTGGTTTGGACCCATTTAATGACACCAAAACAACCTCTAAAATCACAGCCTAAGATTAGAGCATTTGAAGTGCATACTGAGTGAATTTCATATACATCCAAAAAATGTATGCTCTCAAAATCAGATTTTTAAACAAAATTTAGGCATATCAGATGTTTAATATGGAAAATCTACACAGTACATAAGACTTCTTAAAGTTTTTCTGTTGCATCTGATTCACCCTTGGGATGCTGAAAATATTCAGTTTCAAGTTGTTTCAGTTACTGACTTCTGAATCTTTTTAAAAATAAGTTCAAATGTGATAATTTGCAGATTACAAAGTAATATTATCACTTTAATCCAAGTACTTACATCTAGTCCCCTTGGTTTATCAAAACTGTCCCGTTAGACTATGTGACCTGAGCAAAAAGAGGAAAAAAAATCTTTTAAAATCACAAAGGATTATTTTTCCAGGAAAACTCCAGTAATTAATGATTGACCTAAAAGAGAAGCTTTCATCAGTCTTCATTATGTTCATATCAGAACAGGGCATAAATATATTTGTGACAAATTTATTAAGATCTTTATTTTGCATCGCTTGGGCAAGTGGGCTTCACTGTCCGGTGCTTTTGCTGTTTGGTTGTGATGGAGCGCTCCTCTCCACTGCTGGCCCCTGTAGCAGGGTGTCAGCAGAAGCAACATGATGACTAGTCAGAAGTCACACGGAGGTAGAATTATTCTAGTCAGAAACACACAAACCCCACTCATCAGGATTGTGAGGTAAGACTTAGAATGGCCCCAGTCACTCAAGACGAGCGGAATTTCACTTTCTTCTGGCTTTAGTTTCCTACTAGCCTCTGCTGTCCTACAACCACTGTCCCCCTCACATTACTTCCCTCCCAGACACTCCCATCTTTGGTTTCCATTTCTGGTTCTGACCTTTAGGCTCCACATGGAATGTGCCAGTGGCTTATAGAAAAGCCATACATAGATAAGATTTATGCAAGTGGATATGTTTTTAAATTTTTATTACACATTAGAAAGCAGATTATTATTCCCCTCTATTACACTCACTGGACTTAAAAAGGAAAATTATTATCTACTAACGTTCCTATAAGCACCTTTCACCCAGTCTGATGTTGGGCCTCTCTGATACGAGAGATTATCCTCAGAAAACTGACTCTGGTGAATGTTGCTGCACATGTGGTTGGCACCACCATCGGAGAAGCATTTGATTCTACTGAAGCAAAGGTGGCTGCTGTTTAATTACTTCATGCTTCCACACAGACCTAGTATTTACATTCAGGTGAACTGTGTTTAATATGTAAACTCTTTTTGCAAAACAGTGGGAGTTCAAGGGCAAAAAAGTGGACTGGGTAGGAGAAGCAGAATTTTCTAAACAGTTTGAGAAGCATGACTAATATTGTCTTTTTGTGTGTCTTTCTGTGTGTGGGTCCACCGGCTTTGCAGGGAAGACTTCCTGTCCCAAAGGAAGTGAACCGCAAGAAGGACGAGGAGATCGATGCTGCCTCCCTGACTCCACTGGGCAGCAGTGAACTCCGCTCCCCGAGAATCAGTTACCTCCACTTTTTTTAATCGTAACACCTCCATTTGTATTACATATGGTGTATGGGTATTGATGAGGTCATGGTATCATATATGGGATTTTTTTCTGTGTAAATCATCAAGTATAAGAAGAAACTATGGGACTCTGAGCCTTGCTTTAGAGAATTTACAGTGGACAAATAGGTATCATCAAACCAGTTTTTAATCATTCTGACTCCAGTGAAAACGCTCAGAATTTCACACTGTGAATCCACGTTTACAACCCTTACAGGTGGGCCTTCAGGCCTGGTTCGCTACAACAATGTCTTCCACAACTCAAACTCGCACCGTGCTCACACGACCGGTCCACTCCTGCCTTTTCACTCACACAGCTCCCGACTGCTTCTTGCAGAGGCTGAGAGTCCCCATTTTTTTTTTTTCATTTAGATGTAACAAGCCTAGTAGTTTATGTTCATCAATGGTCTGTATATCTCTATATTTTATCCATGTACTCTTTTGATGTATAGAAGTAGTTTGAAACTCATTGTTTCCTTGTGGTAAGTGACCGAGATGCTGCCACAGGACCTGAGACACTGATGAATGGTGCTATTTTGGACTTTCAACATGCTCCTTGGCGAGGTAGCTCTGATGGAGTTATTTTTTATTTCCATGTTCTAAGAAGGTGTTGGTACTCTGTTTCCCTGAATGTTGTTCTCTAGACTGGATTGACTTGTTCTCCTTGTGTCTTCAGTGTGGCTTTCTTCCTCAGTGTTGTAGGTTGAGTGGATGCTGCCAGAGAGTGTGAGAGACTCTTGTCTCATTGACTGGCACTCACGGACATGCAGTCACGGTAGCGGGAGCAATCACAAAACTGTAATTTACTTACCAAAATTCTTCCGGTTCGTAGCCTCGCCTGCCTGACTTAGAGAAAGAAAAGCAATAATTTTACAGGCATTTCGAGGTGTCTCTTTGGGTTCTTTTCGTTTGAAAGGATATTTGAGAAAAAGGGCAAACTTTTTTTTTTTTTAATTTTAAAGATTCGGGGTACAATCCAGGATTAGATATACAAGTGGTCATGGGGGGGGATATCTAAAACACTGGCGACTGAGTAGGAATAGGAAATTAAACTTTTTCCAAAAATTAAGTTGGTAAAAAATGTCTTTACAAAATAATACTAATTTTTAACAAGGCAGAGCACTCTTTTTTGGTGGTTTTGATAAGCAAGGTGTAGATTTTACATTTTTGTCCTTGCTCCCAATGAAATGGACAAACAAAAAATAAAATACCATCTACTCATGGAATGTTGTTGTGTAAGCCAGTCTGAAAGCCCACCTTAATTTTTATATAACTGTCGTTTAGCTCTTTCTTTGACAGGGCAGGCCTTGTTCTGAACTGTTCCGCTTCTGACTGTTAAACACCGATGACGCATGCGCTGCACTTCTTCATTCTCTTCTCGCTCCCCCATTGGCCTGAGTTTCTTGTGCATTTCTCCTCTCCCTCCTTTGTTAGACTAGGTATATCAGCGGTGTAAATAGAGCAAAAAAACAGTATTCTGCATCTGTGGCATTTATGTAGAGTTGCAGTTGTGTACTGCTGAAAATGCAGGCTTTTGTAACAATGTGATCTTTACTGATGCACTCATGACAAGTACCCAATGTATTTTAGCTATTTTAGTAGTATTTGTTCAATAAATATGCAAGCTGTAAGGTAACTGTCTGATTTGGCTCATCATTGAAGAGGCCTACTTTTGTTTTATTGTTTTTTGTTTTCTTTTTTTATTTTATTATAAAGATGGGGATACAAGTGAGGATCAGCTACATAGGTAGGCTGCAGGCAGGTGAAGTTTAGGCCTCCAATTGGCCCTCCTTACCCTGGGACCTTTGTGTTGTCATGTACCACCCTCTACCCTCTTCTCTCCCAACCGCCCCTAGCAGTGCCCCAGCAAATGCCAATCTCTCCCTTGTGTTCATATGATTATTGTTCACAACTCTCTTATGAGTGAGAAGATGTTCTATTCATTTCTTTGTTTCTGTGATAGATCACTTAGTATGATAGTCCCAACTCCATCCAATTTGCTGTGAAGTTCATGATTTTACACACCCAGTATTGTCCGAGGCCTACTTTTGAATACCTTCCCTGGTCCATGCTAATTCATGTGTTCCCAGAGCCCCAGAAGTCAGGCCAGTAAACCCAAGGGCAAATATCAAAAGAGATAGAATCAGCTCTGCCTTTCATGCGTTTTCCCTTTTGAGGGTTTTATGAGATTAGGAGCTATGCAGTGGCTCATTAAGATGGTATTTGCAGAGCTGCCTCCAGAAACAAAGGAGAATTAGACCAAGATCCTTTTATTTATACACTTTTCTCCCTTTCCCACACACC